TATTTCAATTTTTATGTATAAATTTCATAATAATATACTACCGTCAATTTTTGAGTCATTTTTCACAAGGGTTGATCAAGTTCATAATTATAGAACTAGATCTTCCACGAGTGAATCTTATTATATTCCAAAACTTCGAACCAATTATGGATTATTTAATATTAGATATCAAGGTCCAACTATATGGAATTCTATACCTAAAGAAATTAGGTATGCTTCCCTTTCCAAATTCAAAAATCAATTTAAAAATGATTATTTTCAGACATACTAACCAGAATGATACTAAGGAGTCTGCTACCAGTTGCAAATGCATCTAAGAATGATTGTGTGTTGTGTGCCTTTGTTGCCATTTTTACCGACTCACTTATCATAATTTTATTACGGTATTAAAAAGTAAACTGGCATCCTGGTATTTTTAGCTATCCCAGGTTATTTCAGGATTGCCAGGACCCTATAATGAATTGTAAAATGTTTATTTATTTAATGTCTTTTATTGTTGTAAAAATGGGTCAATAAAGTTTTTGTCTTGTCTTGTCTTGTCTCTAGATCGTTGGAAATGGCATTTTCAGAGTCTTCTTTTGCACAAAATTGTATGAAAATTGCCTTATTCTTAGAAATTATGAGATAAAATAGAATATCCTTCTCATTTCCCTCCTTATAACAATATTTCCTCCCAATTTCCTTCCAAATGCAATTTCCTTCCAAATTTCCTTCCAAAGGCCCAAATTTCCTTCTGGAAGGAAATTTCCTTCCAAATGGAAACGCCGGCGGTATACCCTACAAATAAAATTTCCGGCGTTTATGCCCACAAGCAGTGCTTCCATTTGCAAGGATTTTTCCTTGCAGCAAGGAAATATTGGTCCATGCAAGGAATTTACAAGGAAATGAAATGTACAAGGAAATGGCAAGGAAAAATACAAAAATTAAAGGAAATTGCAAGGATTTCTGTAACTTATACCAGTTTCAGGTTTAAAACCACTTAAACCAGTAAAAATGAACTTATAGGTAGTATAGGCCTAACAAAAGAAGTACGAAAGATCTGAAAATGCCATTTCCGGCGATCTGGAGACTATAAATTTCAAAATTTGTCGTTCAGTACCTTCTGCCATCCGACCCCTCCACCATTATCAAGCACGTTACGCCCCTGGATGAGCATAAACATATATGTGGAGCAGATACTTTCATGGAGGGAACTCTTGAAAGCTTGCCCAAAATTTCAGGCAATGTAATGATATTCGATTTCTCGTAGGGTCTATGACACATTTGGCTCAAATTGCCTAAATTTTCTTGATTTTTTCCACCGTTTGGGTGGCAAGGAAATTTTGTGGGAAAAAAGGAATTTTGGAGATTGTAAAAGGATTTTTGAACGAGCGGTTGTGGAAGCACTGCCCACAAGTAAAGTTATATTGTATCTACTAATCTTAATCTCTTTAAATCCAAAGTAAAACAATTTATCTAATTAAGTTGAACAATTTATCTAATTAAGTTGAGTTTTTTTCTAACTATGAGGTATAATTATACATAATCCACTTGTAAATATTTTATAGTTTTTAAATAAGCATAGTATAGTTTACCATGTATAATATAGATATATATTACAGGACCTCCCTGAAAAACACTTCGGTTAGTGGAGCTTCCTGAATAAATATTATTATTATTATTATTATTATTATTATTAGTACGCTACATTCTTCTGTCGGCCGCCAATTTATTAAAACGGTCCAAACTAAAATATTTTGGGGCTTTTGGGCTCAAAATATTATCAAAATGAAGAGAGAAGTGAGACGAATCCACTGGTATACGGCCGAAAAAGAAAAACAACGATACCAAAGTTATCAAGGATCAAACGTACTGCATTTTTTACAATTTGAGCGATTTGTCAACAAATAATACAATTTCGCTTGGCTTTCAAAGACAAAGGCCATAAATCGCTAGAATACTGTTGTCAGTTGTTTAGTAAACATTTGACATCCGTAGGTACAATTTCTCATTCGTATAAGGGACCATTCATTATTTATGACCCGGGGTGGGCTGGCAAAATTCAATAACTAAACAAAATGTCCTGACCCACCCCCTGCATCACAAAAAAATTCAATGACCCCCTTCACATGAATTCTAAAAAATAATACCCCCTCCACCACCACCACCACCACCACCACCACCACCACCACCACCACCACCACCACCACAAACACCGACAATATAATAAATGTACAGTTGCTGAGCACAATTGGGACATGCTTAGCAGAGGTTCGAGGGCCAAAGGCACGAGGAAATTTTTAAATTTAGAGTCCAGAATTCTGATGATCAGAAAACGTCATTTTAGAATGTCGAAATTCACAATTTAGTAGCACTAAATGGGCGAAGGCGTATTTAATGAACTATATCAATATTGGATAAGTTGCAGGAAAGTATGAGAAATATAATTTGATTCTTTGCAGTTTGTCATGGGTAATGTAGGCGCTTAAAATTAATCAATTGTCAGTATTTTAAAGGTATATTATTTAAATGATTCTGGATGACTTTGGAAAATAAATGATTAGCGTGAATGAGAATGAAAAAGAATGATCTGCATTATTTTGGAAAAAGAATGATTAGCGGTTGCTACGTCTTTGGGTTAAGAATAGGGTTAGGGTACAGGGTACTACGTCAATGAACTACAAAGACAGCCAAACAGCTAGTGACTCGAACATTTGACTCAGGCTCGAATTTGACTCGGACTTGACACGACAAGCGAACAAACCAGCACTGAACAACGATTATTGCTACCTCGTTGTGGTAGCAATAATCGTTACATGTCAAATTTTTCTCCACTATAATAAATAACTGGACCCCCCATTCTGAACTAATATTTTTAGATGCCCCCCCCCCCTTTTCCAGTCAAAAATACCTCATGACCCACCCCCTTTTTTTGCCAGCCCACCCCCAGTCATAAATATGAATGGTCCCTAAGTACAATTTCTTACGCTGAATCGAACGGTGGTATTTTTATTCTTATTGCGCCATTAATTAGGCAACACCAATACAAGGACAAACGTATTGCGAGTGATTTGTCAACAATACCGTACTGCGAGCGATTTGTCAATACAATTTCGCTTGATTTTCAAAGGCCATAAATCGCTAGAATACTGGTGTTTAGTAATACATTTGGCATCCGTAAGTACTGAATTTCTTACGCTGAATCGAACGGTGGTGTTTTTATCCTTATTGCGCCATTAATAGTCATTACAAATACAATATCATATTTCACACTGAGTACACTGCAGTTTTCACGAACTGTTGTTCGATAAATTTCATATTGATATGACACCAATATCAAAACATTTATTGTATGGTTCTCATTTGCTTTATAATACAATAACATTAGTTCGACGCGAATTTTAATACAAGTAAGGTATGGTATCATATTTCATAATATAAGGAACAATGTAAACTAGCCATACATTTCGCCGAACATATAAACTTCGGCCCGTTTGGACATATCTTTTTCGTAATAGTACTAGAAAATACATGCATGCAGAAACCCTCGCCTTGCTGACAAACAGACAAAACCATTGTATTTTCCGAACATGAAGTATCTGAAGTAGTTGTCATGGTAACACGATAATTTTTTAAGAATATTCTTACAAATGAAAAATCGCCTAAAAAATATCACTTTTAATTACAAAATTATTAATTTGCCAACATATATATGTTAGGTATGTTATTATACGTAATATAAGCCTCAATTTAAGGTAAAATTCAACCACAAACGCTTCGCAAAACGTTTTAAAGTCACTAGTGTTCTTTATAAAACTAAACTGCCTTTTAAAACGGCTTTATCGATAAACTTTGAGTTTGCAATAAAATGACTTCAAATTCTCGCTTGCAAATAACTCTGCTTTCTTTTTTATTTAAAAAATTCAATATCATAAAAAAGGGAATCAATATTACTAAAGATACACTGAAATAATATGCTGTCTTGTTTAGTTGTTTCATATATGCAAAGGCCGTCGGGTTTTAAATTAAATCCATTATAAAATCAATATTTAAAACAAAGTTACCTTCGTTAACGTTGGCTCACTTCTTTTAGCCGATTCTTTCGCTGTTTCTTTCTTGAAATTTACAAAATCTTGCGAAAATGCGAGCGAAAATGAAATATATTTGTGATATTTGCAAGAAATTTATCAATCATCAAATCAAGAAATGTTTGCTATTTAGCTGTCGTCATGCAGTCGTTATAATGCAAACTTTAAATTGGACCAATCAGTTTTCGCTATTCATGACAGTCCGCCACATATTTTGAGATCAGTGAGGATGACCACCCACCGAAACTTCGTTGGTGAGCCACGCCCGCGATATTTGATGAACTTTAGACTTCGCTAATGCTTTCGTTTCCCCGGGTGTAAATAGCCGGGGGGAATTAGTACCCTCGCACGGCGCTTCGCGCCGTCGGCTCGGGGATTATTGGAACCAGGATCCAAAACACTATTTCTACACTATTTCACATTTTCTATCGGGCTGTAAAATGTGGTCAAGCATCAACGTGGCGCGTGCGTGCGAGTCAAAACCCGATATTTTAAAAAATTCAAAATAAATATTTTTCCTCTGTGCCGTATTCAATCGAAACTTTGTACATGAAAGCGCTTGAATACAAGACGTATTTTAATTGTTTTTGTTTGTGGAAACACCACGTAAATTTATTACTGCATACAATTTGCTTGCGGTTTACGACTTTGCAGTAATAAATTTACGTGGTGTTTCCACAAACAAAAACAATTATATTTTATCGCCATGCAAACATTCAAAGAACTTAAGACGTATTTTATTCACATTGACTCTGAACAAATTATATAGAGTTTAGAAGATATTCAAATTTTTTTCTCGATATGACTGATACAGAATGTTTGGCCAAGCGGTGAGTAAATATATTATTGTTTTGGTTTGTGTAATGTTTTGACGGCATTTGACGCCCCCGCAGGATTACAATGGTGCTTTTCGTTTTAAGGGGGGGGGGGGATGCTCGCTGAGATATTTATAATTAGAAACAATAAAAATCGTAAAAATTTAAAATTTTGAATTGGGGCGTGACGCGAAATTAACCCATTTTAAGACAGGCAGTACTTTGCTGGCAGTGCAATTGTCTATACAGTAAATACTAAAGTAGATAGACAGTAAATACAAAGTAGGGTGCATTGCCAGCTAATGGTTCAATAAAAGACATTGGCAGATGTGTTTGTTAAACTATTTATTGACAGTACTCTACCACTGACAAATAAAATCGTCTGGCGGTACACGGTGTAAATTTGTCTGGCGTTAGTCATAGTTATTACTGAAAGTAGTGTGTGTTGCCAGCTAATAGATTAGTAGACCTTAATATCCACTTGCTTATTAAATGCTGAACGAGAAACAAATTTGTGCAGAAAACATAGGGGATATAACCTTCATGCGCAGGCCTGCCATTCTACCAATGATGAAACGTGGAAATGATGCCATTGGGTCATGCCACTCGGTCAAAAGTAAAGTTTAAAAGTAGAAATACAAACTTTTGCATTCAGATCATGTGGCAAAAAGGCAGCGCTTTCCTTGCGAGAGTAACTCCTAGTTATAGATTTGCACCATAGGTCTCCCGAAAAGGACTTTTATTTTTTTTTAAAAATCCATACAATTTGCTTGCGGTTTACGACTTAATTCTTGTATACTGCATCATAGCAGGTATGTCGTCATTTTCAGGTCAGTGTGAACGCCTGAGCAGGCGTCTTGTTATAAT